CGTATGGTAACATTTTTACAAAACCAAAGACGACAATAGTTTTGTGATAATAACTTTACCTACAAGTATTTATTACAGGTCATGTAGACCCCTGTTGCTTGATCTATAGCAAAAACATTGGCATTTGCACTTTGGCAACGCTGCGATTTTTTAATAGATCTTTTATCTTAGAAGTCCATCAGTTCAACAATGATTGTCTTTATAGGTATATAAAGCCCCCCCCCCTATAAAGTCAGCTTATTATCAAAGGAACTGTTTATTAACAACTTGATAAGGTCTCCACTTATATATTATATATTCTTTTTACTTTTATTGATATACATTATATGCATACATGTTAGCTTGTACTTGGTAAGACATATTTTGTTGGGCCATAAACTTAAACCAGTGTTCTAGAAAATAGGAACTGTATATGTATGCATTTGGTTTGATTCATTCCCTAGCAGTAGAGGTGCAGTTATTTTGACTAAAGTTTATCAAATAAAGCTTTATATTTTCAAAATTTAAATCAAAAGCCTATTTTTATCTTTAATTAGAGTACTAATTATGTACAACATCTTTTGGGTAATCTATAGCTTGTATTGTTTATTAAACATGACTTTTGAAAGGCTTATTTCCAGGAAGGACTGAATCTGACCTTTGGCTTTAGATCAACCATTAACTCTCTGTGTTGGCATTTTGAAATGTAATACTTCTACTATGTGAGTCATCAAATACTAAGCAAGTTAGAGCATTTGGAGGGTTAACCATAGTTGACCATTGAAATATGACATTGATTTATTGCTTTTATGTTTTATCTGCATTTCACCTCTTTTTATGCCCTCTTGTTAATTCTTACATTAACCAATATTTCTTTTACATTAGTAGAAGGTTGATTTTGAAAATTAATGATGGTCCATAGATAAGCAATTTGGTGAATTTATACCCAAAAGTAGAAAGACCCCCTTCACCTCTAGGAAAATTACCTATAGCTTCTATAGTGTTCTGTTCTCCATTAGATGTTTTAGTCAAATGCAAATTTTATCTCACTGTCTTTTCTCCTGATTCCAGAGTGTACTGAATAGAGTGAATAGCACTGAAATACCCCTAGAGCATTTAAAGTAACCTCTGAATAATGGCTATAGCTAGACAATTTTACTTTTTAAAACAAATATCCATATCTTATAATTGCATCATTAACAACTGGTTGGAAGTTTAATTTAAATTACTTTGATTTGTATAGAATATTTCTCATTAAACCAGGACTTATTCATTGTAGAACCTACATGGCTAGTGGCTACATGTATAGTTTTTGTATACACTTTAAAAATGTTTACTGATTCTGAGTTTCCATGTAAACCTAAGTCCTGTATCTGTATGTACAACTCTGTTTATCCCTTATAGCAGTATACAATGTATAGCTTTAATACCAATTATAAGCTGAGAAGTGCAATATAATTCTCAATGTGTTCAAACTCATATCATTCTAGATTACAGTTGGGATATGAATTTAAAATTGAGCATTTTAATATTTTCAGATATGCTACATCATGCCTACAGTAGCAGAAACAGTGGTTGTTTGAATATAATTCTCATTGTTCAATTTCATATTCTAGATATCAGTTATGATGCTAATCTAAAATTGAGAATATTTATATTTTCAGATGTACTACATCATGCCTACAGTAGATCTACCATTGTTTCTACAGTAGCAGAAACAGTGGTAGTTTGAATATAATTCTCATTGTTCAATTTCATATTCTAGATATCAGTAATATGATTATAATTTAAAATTGAGAATGTTTATATTTTCAGATGTACTACATCATGCCTACAGTAGATCTACCATTGTTTCTACAGTAGCAGAAACAGTGGTAGTTTGAATATAATTCTCATTGTTCAATTTCATATTCTAGATATCAGTAATATGATTATAATTTAAAATTGAGAATGTTTATATTTTCAGATGTACTACATCATGCCTACAGTGGATCTACCGTTGTTTCTACTGTAGCAGAAACAGTGGTAGTTTGAATATAATTCTCATTGTTCAATTTCATATTCTAGATATCAGTTATGATGCTAATCTAAAATTGAGAATATTTATATTTTCAGATGTACTACATCATGCCCACAGTACATCTACCATTGTTTCTACTGTGGCAGAAACAGTGGTAGTTTGAATATAATTCTCATTGTTCAATTTCATATTCTAGATATCAGTTATGATGCTAATCTAAAATTGAGAATATTTATATTTTCAGATGTACTACATCATGCCTACAGTAGATCTACCATTGTTTCTACAGTAGCAGAAACAGTGGTAGTTTGAATATAATTCTCATTGTTCAATTTCATATTCTAGATATCAGTTAATGATGATAATCTAAAATTGAGAATATTTATATTTTCAGATGTACTACATCATGCCCACAGTACATCTACCATTGTTTCTACTGTGGCAGAAACAGTGGTAGTTTGAATATAATTCTCATTGTTCAATTTTATATTCTAGATATCATTTATGATGATAATCTAAAATTGAGAATTTTTATATTTTCAGATATACTACAACATGCCTACAGTAGATCTACCATTGTTTCTACTGTAGCAGAAACAGTGGTAGTTTGAATATAATTATCCTTATTCAATTGCATATTTTACGGTTTCTGTTATGATTAGAATTTAAAATCTTGCATTTTCATATTTTCAGATGTACTACATCATGCCTACAGTAGATCTACCATTGTTTCTACTGTAGCAGAAACAGTGGTAGTTTGAATATAATTTCTCATTGTTCAATAGACTAGATGCGAATAGAAAAATTTTTGATTTATGTCTTTAAATATTCAAAATACAGACAAATATTTGAAATCGACATGTAAAAGTACATCTAGAAATATGGTTTCGAAAATTGTTTATCAACTTTGAAAATTAAATTTTTTTTGAAAATGTGACTTCTTGTTCGGGTTGATTCCTCATAGACCCCATGTTACAAAATCACAAAAAGTGAAATATCTTTTCTTGTATTGGACAGATAACATTTTCTTTTACTGGACATATTTTAATTTGTACAACTATTAGATACATAAGGGTTATATAAAAATTGAACCACTAAAACAGACGTTATTTAAGTTAAAGGGAACTTTCTACTATACCCGCCATGTTATCTGACCCGAACGAGCCACCTGGTGGCGAAAGTGGTAACTACCTACTCGCATCTGCGTTATTTCATATTCTAGATATCAGTTAATGATTATAATTTAAAATTGAGAATTTTTATATTTTCAGATGTACTACATCATGCCTACAGTAGATCTACCATTGTTTCTAGTGTAGCAGAAACAGTAGTAGTTTGAACATAATTCTCATTGTTCAATTTCATATTCTAGATATCAGTTATGATGCTAATCTAAAATTGAGAATTTTTATATTTTCAGATGTACTACATCATGCCTACAGTAGATCTACCATTGTTTCTACTGTAGCAGAAACAGTGGTAGTTTGAATATAATTCTTATTGTTCAATTTCATATTCTAGATATCAGTTATGATGATAATCTAAAATTGAGAATTTTTATATTTTCAGATATACTACAACATGCCTACAGTAGATCTACCATTGTTTCTACTGTAGCAGAAACAGTGGTAGTTTGAATATAATTATCCTTATTCAATTGCATATTTTATGGTATCAGTTATGATTAGAATTTAAAATCTTGCATTTTCATATTTTCAGATCTACTACATTATGCCTATGGTAGATCTACCACTGTTTCTACAGTTGCAGAAACGTGGTTGTTTGAACATAATTTTCCTTGTTCAATTTCATATTCAAGATATCAGTTATGATTAAAATTCAAAACTAAATATTTTATATGTTCAGATATACTACAGCATGCCTATGGTAGATCTACCATTGTTTCTACAGTTGCAGAAACAGTGGTAGTTTGAATATAATTCTCATTGTTTAGTTTCATATTCTAGATAACAGCTATGATTTGACTTAAAACTTGAGCTTTCTTATAATTTCAGATTTATTACATCATGCCTATAGTAGATCTACCATTGTTTCTTTAGTTGCAGAAACGGTGGTTGTTTGAATCTACCGTTGTAGTGGTTGTTTGAATATAATTCTCAATGTGTTCAAATTCATATTCTAGATTACAGTTGGGATATGAATTTCAAATTGAGCATTTTAATATTTTCAGATATACAACATTATGCCCATGGTAGATCTATGAGTTGTTCCACAGTTGCAATGATGGACATGATTGTTTGAATATAATTCTCATTGTATACTTTCATATTCTATTATACAGTAAATTACAATTTCCTCTAAGCCCAGGACATCATTTTCAAAATGTTATATTCTTCATAACATTTCAAAGCCCGCCCCAAACTGGTTATAATTGATAGGTTTGATATAAATATTAACAAACTAACAGAAAATTATGGATGTCCCAAAACCTGTCAAAAATATTGATAAAATATAAACAATATTAGAATATAAAGATACATTATTCATTAAATAGTGCTGTTGATACAGGACTTGTTCAATATGTCTATCATCTGATTTTCCGTTTTTATTTGTTTAAAATAAAACATAGTATTTCAACATAAAATTAACTTGACAAAAGATCCCTAAAACACAATGAAATTGAGAGACATCTATTTAAAGTCATAAAAACTTTTAAGACAGTCTAAAAAGTTAGATAAATGTTAACTACCATAGTACTATGGTAGTTTCAATGGATAATGTACAATGGTGTCTTTAAAAATCGATACAGTGGTTATCAATGTTCATTTCCACCCTTAACAACCACTCATACATCTAACCATGGTTGTAACTACAAGTGTTGTATCAATGGTATATCTATGGTTGTTGCATAGTGGGAAATACATTGAACTCCATTGATCTTTTCATAAGGGAAAAGAAAGATGAACAAAATGACAGGGATTGTGCCAATATATATTTTACAAAATATATAAAGGAAAAATTTCAATCTCGAAAATCTTACTTTGGAAAACCGCAAGTGTTTTCTTGGATAAACTGGGAGACTTAAAGGCCAGTTCTGCTACTTGGAATTCACACGTCAAAGGCAGATGATTCAAATACTTCAACCTTCTTCTCAATTCCTGAAAATAAAAGGAAGGTTTAATTAAAAGGCCAATCATGTTCACATTATTTGTTGTTGTGACTCATAGAGGATGTGAGTTAGAAATGTCATTAACTCATATAATAGGACATGTAGGAGGTTCATGAACAACAAGCAATAGCAGAAAAACACATGTTGTTTCACCAAAACTGCTTGAATGTTTTGAGGAGGGAGGGAGGGGGGGGGGACGAATGACTGACCGATCAAATTTTTGAGGAATTCTGCAATTATGAATACTTTGTTAAAATTCAAATTTTCCATAATTTTTCTGTTTTGAATGCTCATTTTGCCTGTTGTTATTGAAACGAATCTTCAAGAGTAGTCCTTGTGTTTTCTGGACCAACAGATAGCATTATGTCTGTTTTATTTTTAAAATTAATGTTCAACATTTTTTTCTTTTTTTGCATGTTCATTTTGCCTGTTGTTATTGAGACTAATCTTAAACAGTACTCCTTGTTTTCTGGTCCAACAGATAGCATGATGACTGTTTTATATTACCTCATTCATTGAAACAGCTTCCATTTCTATTATTTCTGCAGTGATGACCTCAGGTGCTTGCTCAAGGCTACCATATTCCTTGATCAAACATCTTGCATTGAGAGAGTGCAGGTAAATGTGCTGGCCATCTTCAGCTGAAAAAATAAATATAAATGTTTTTAACTCCTTTAACACTGTACATCAGGAATGCCAGGTTTTGTCAAATATTTTGCATAGAGATAAGTGTGTTATGATTTTTATATCAAAGATCTCCGGGGGCGTTGGGAGGGGGGGGGGTCTAGATCCCATCCCCCATTATCCACCAATGAATATTGTTGTATCATATTGGGTGTATCATGGGTCAATCTAAAATGTAATTTTAATTTCAGCCAGCACTTATATAAACTGATCTGGTCTTAGGTTGTTATCTATTTTAGTTTAACAATGTTACATGAAAAAATTCCCAGATTTTTATTTGAGTACGTCTGGCAATTACCTTGGTAGAAATAGTACATGGCAGTTGGTATCTTGGTGCTTGGGTTATGATGATGCTGTGTTTTATCTCCCATAGCTCCTTCCTCACTTTGACGTGACATATCTTCATTTTCAGTTGTTTCAGATGCTTTAGAGTCATCCTTCGTCCCATTCTCCTTGGTCACAACTTCCTCTTGTGAAAGATTACTCAGGCTGTTTAGAGAGTGATTCTCCTGGCCCTCTGGTGAGTGATTACCCTGGCCCTCTGGTGAGTGATTTCCTTGGCCCTTTAGTGAGTGAATATTCTGGTCCTCTAGTGAGTGATTTTCATGTTCTTCAGACGGACATATGGATGAATGAGATGTATTATCTGAGTGGTCAGATGATGCTTCTTCATCATCAAATGCTGATGCGTACTCTGTGACAGTCTGAAAGAGTAATTTAACATTAAGGAGCATAAAGAAAAAATGCTAGCTTGACTTCTTAAACCAATGATTTTTTTTAGATTAAGTTTTTGACTAAAAATACCTTTACTTTTTTCTCATTGTGGCTTGCTCTACTTAAAATTATTTTTAATACATTCAAAGTTCCAGAAGATGACTGAATTACACAAGACATTAACATGCGAAATGTCACCACCTGCCATTTGTTACAGATGCCAAATGCTGAAGGCCAAACACTGTCCACAAACTATAGCAATATTTCACCACTTCTGGTGGTGACATAAAAACTGCAAACATAAAGTCAAATTCTGAGAAGAAATGAATAACATAAGTACAATTACTATGTAAAAGGACTTACCTTTGAGCTGCCCTCACCCCCAGCTCCCCAGGAGGGAGTAATTTTCTGTGTAGCCATATCAGCTTGAGTCACCTCAGACTCCAGCTTTGGTCCCTTAATCATTTCACTTGCTTCGTTACTTGCAGCCATGGAAACGTTTAGTGATGTTTCTCTACTAGTGACATCTGTCAGTGCAGCATCAACGAATGATGATTCTAAACTCTAAAAATATAAATTGAAATATATATACAGAATAATAGTGGATGAATATCTGAAAGGTTGTCAACAGAAATGGCATAAATGTTTAGACTGAATGGGGAATGGAATTCGAACCAGTTTACAGTTCCCCATGTAACAAAGGGCTCAAAGGACCTGCTTCATAAAATCCTCATACATACATGGGCGTAGCGCTATATTTCTAAGTAGTTCGCCATCAGGGAAGTTGTTGAGCGGAGCAAAAAGAGCATTCAGGGGGTCTCCCACAGGAAAATTGTGAAATTTGGTTGTATTTGGAGCGAATTTGCAACCATCTGGTATAATGTCAAATGCTGTAGTTTTGTGGAATTTTGCAACTGTTTCCATATAAAAAAATTCCAATAATTTTGCCAATTTTACTCATTCATATTGCCAGTTGTCAAAATTTTGGCACCACTCCTGTTTTACATGACTAGATATTCAGTATTTGATAATGATAATACATAAATGCTCACCTCCCCCTCTTCCCTCTTTTGTTGTAGAAGTTGTTGTTTCTCTTTACTGACAATCTTCTCATTGACTTGGTCAGCAGATGCCACTAGTAGTTTAACAAAGCGTGTATCGACATCATCTGAAAAAATTAACAATTCAGAAAAAACTGTAAAGTGGAACTGATCTTGCATGTCAAATAGTTCAGTGACTATTACTGATTTCACCGATTTCTTATATTTTTCTATTTTCAAGTGACAATTTTCTCAATTTTCAAATGTGACATTTTTCCTTTTTTCAAACTTGACCATTTTTTTCAGTTAAAATACTATTTTCTATTGTTCTTCGAAGATTGATGTTACTTTTGTCAGTAAGTATTCCTACCAACGTTAACCTTATTAAATTCCCAAGAACTGTATTTTTATCGCACTTTGAAAAAGTGCTATATTGTCGTCGTCTTGTGCTGTTGGGCGGGCGTTTGGGCGTGCGGGCGGGCGGGACATAAACCAAATCTTGTCATCAAATTTCCAGGATAACTGCTTACCTGTTCAACTTGAAATTTTTACAGATGCAAGAGCAGACTAGTACCAAGATCTGATTAGGTTAAGGGCATACTGGGTAAACTATGTGGCGGCCATTTTGAATTTTTCAACAAATCTTGTCATCAAAATTCCAGGAAAACCACTTATCCGTTCAACTTGAAATTTTTACAGATGCAAGAGCAGACTATTGCCAAGATCTGATTAGGTTTTGGGTATGCTGGCTGAATTACATGGTGGCCATTTTGAATTTTTGAATTTGGCGGCCATTTTGAATTTTTCAACTTGCTCCAAATTGACCAAATTTTTTTTTTAAAAACATCTACAAGTTCTCAGAAGTTCAAATCTGACCTTAGATTTCAGATTTGACCTTTCATTTTACCTTCAGTGACCTTGAAAAGGTCAAAAAAGTTGATTTTCTAAATTGATATTTTGGATTTAAATTTAGGTCAGCTTAATTACAAAACACCTACTGAGGTCTGAAAAGTGAAATTTTCAAGGTCGAAAGTCAAGGTCATTAAACTAGGTCACAAATGATGTTATCCAAGTTTCTCAAAGTTTGAGACTACAAATCAATTCTTGTCATCAAAATTCCAAGAAAACCGCTAACCTGTTCAACTTGAAATTTTTACACATGCAATAGCAGACTAGTGCCAAAATCTGATTAGGTTAAGGGCATGCTGGGTAAACTACGTGGTGGCCATTTTGAATTTTTCAACAAATCTTGTCATTAAAATTCCAGGAAAACCACTTATCCGTTCAACTTGAAATTTTTACAGATGCAAGAACAGACTATTGCCAAGATCTGATTAGGTTTTGGGTATGCTGGCTGAATTACATGGTGGCCATTTTGAATTTTTCAATTTGGTGGCCATTTTGAATTTTTCAACTTGCTCCAAATTGACCAAATTGTTTTTTTAAAAACATCTACAAGTTCTCAAATGTTCAAATCTGACCTTAGATTTCAGATTTGACCTTTCGTTGACCTTCAGTGGCCTTGAAAAGGTCAAAAATTTGATTTTCTAAATTGATATTTTGGATTTAAATTTAGGTCAGCTAATTACAAAAGACCTACTGAGGTCTGAAAAAGTGAAATTTTCAAGGTCGAAGGTCATCAAATTAGGTCACAAACAATGTTATCTAAATTTTCCCAAAGTTCAAGACTACAAATAAATTCTTGTCATCAAAATTGCAGGAAAACCGCTAACCTTGTCAACTTCAAATGTTTACAGATGCAAGAGCAGACTAGTGCCAAGGTCTGATTAGGTTTTGGCCATGCTGGGTAAATTGCATGGTGGCCAGTTTGCTCTTCAAAGTGCGATATTTATCACTTTGTGTCTTGTTTGCATGATAAATTGGACGTTATGTTCTTTAATAGAATTAAGTTATAGCAGATGATATAAGAAAGGCAGATGGTCATACATCTCTCCATAGAACATACCATCTATCGTGTGAAGTTTAGCCTCTCTTTCAGCCCACTGTCCCTGGGGCACGGTATAGGTGGAGCCACGGGCCCTTTTCATCAGCTTCATTGAAATCTTCTCCCCAGCCACATAATGGTGGGTAGCAAATGATGTTACACTGGAATGTATAAAGACAATGAGAAATCACTTAAAATGTGAATTTTAAATATGAGTTGGACAAAGATTTCTGGAGGCTTATAAATATGTTTTATTAAATTATGTGCAATAACTTTAACAGGGTTCCTGTAATAATATGAGAATGGTGTATATGGACGATGTTAGATGCACATCAAAATATTCCATTACAATTATTGCCAGTCAATTATCAAAATGCAACCTAATAGTAACAATGTGTATTTCAAAAAGCAAAGCTTCGTCTTCAATCAAATTTGAAATATTGTTCAATTCAATTTAATTCTTACCTTTTCAGGTCTTTCTGGTAAATGTAGTCATAGCAGATGGGACACTTTCTCCAGTTGCGTTTCTTGTCCCCTTCATCGAGAGATAAGAAATGTAGGATACACGACCAGCAGTAAATATGGCCACATCGGGTTATTTTCGCTGCAGTAGGGGGGTATAGACATATCGGACATGATGGCACCTCATGGCTAAATATCCTCTGTAATAAAAGTAAAATAATTGTAGTGATTAATTAAATGCTGATGCAGTGCTGTACTGTTTCCCTTAACCTGGAGGTTCTCAAATCAATATGATTGTATGGAAGATTCTTAGGCATCATCTGCTATTAACTCCAACCCAAAATGGAAACCACAATGGTTGATAAACATTAAAGCAAGAATTAATTTTTTACATACTAAAAAAGCATAATGTTGAATTAAAAAAATTGTCATGAACAACATAAACATTGTTTTTATTCAAAAATACAAAAATGTTCACTATAAATCTAATCTTACCACTTGTTCTATAAGATCCCAGTCAACCAGTCTATCAGGGTCCCCTGCATGTATTGTGTAGTCTCCTGTGTCCTTGACAATGAACTGGCAACTAGAAACACATATTCAATCATCTTAGATCATTCATTCAGATTTCTTTGAAAATATTAAAGAATTAATATGGACTCCTAAAAAAGCATTAATCTGATTTAAACTTCTATCTAGATGTAGTAAATCATATCCATGGTATAATTCATTGACACCAATTTGAATAATATGCATTACAATACTTGACTTACTTTGCTTGTAAAAACTGTTCCTTGTTGTATTTTGGACCTTTCCGACTCCACTTGTTACGGCCTTTCCAACCAGTATTTCCTGGCATACCTCCAGCCCCCTCGCGAGGGGTGAACGTAAAGTTTAGCAAATGGTTTAAGTTGCCATTGCCTTTCTTGGAACCTTCCATAAGGGCAGAGCCAGGCTCAACCCTCCTGTCCAGGTTCATCTAAAAAATAAAGAGCATGTTTTCTTTTTAGTCTTATGCTTCATTTAAATACATGCGTTGCAATAATTAATCAAGTTTTACATGTATGTACATGTACTGACAATTTATGACGACTACAACCTATCAACTTTGGATATTCTAACCTTGAATCTTCAAAAATAATGATGAAAAGTATAACATTTACCTCATCCCGTTGTCCTCCACCGTTATATCCTCGAGGACGAGGCCTTGCTCCCGGTTTATTGGATAAAGGGTAGGTTGTTTTTCTTCCTTGAGGCGGTTCCCCACGCCCCTTCCCACCCTGACCTTCCTTCCTCCGACCCTGTTTTGGGAACTTCGCTCCATTTTCTGAAAAATATGATTAAATTTTTTATATTTTAGTTTCTTGCCGCTGAAAATACGTTGGATTAGTTGTTATTTGGATAAAACTCAACGTTCTGTCAATTACTCGAGTCTCTAGCTTACAGCTAGATGTACTGTAACTTCATTGATTTTGTATGTACTCGTATTTCGTATGTAAAAATTGCTACACGCACCTAGAAATCATTTTTAATAAATTTTATAAATATTTTTAAGAATATTATTATATTTAGGATGAAGCGTTGCTTGTCTGGATTTAGATATTTCAAAATTTCTTTTAGGAGTTTGACACATTGTGAAATTTACTCGCTGTAGCTAAAAAATGGCTTCCGGTTCCGGACATGAATAAATGGAGGAAACTTTGAAATTATTCTCGCTTAAGAAATCAAATATTTCAATAGATTCAGACGGAGATGTGTGCTGATGTTTCTCAAATCTATACATAGAGGTATATTTCATATTATTATGCCGTATTTACTGTAGACTGTATCCTTCGTCTGAATAAATATTCAGACTGTAAGTCACCTATTGTAAAATGTGGTGTTGTATAAATGTTACAAATAAGTTTGTTTAATGATAAAATGATTACCTTATAAAGAACTTACAATATTATTTTTTCGTATATTGTCCTCTTACTGAAGATATTCATAAAATGTACAGACGCTTCTTGTAGCGAAGCCATTGATTAGGTCAAGCCATTTTGGCAATGCCAATTCTCACGATAAACGAGATTTAGCCAGTGACGTCAGTCTATTTGTAAACAAATAACACGTGGAGCGGACGGAGCAACATTACGGAAGCGTATTGCTAAATTCCATTTGTGCGGGAATTTATTAGATCTAGTCATTTATTATCATTATCCCGATTAATTTTCTTCATTTATAGTAAATAGAGCGGAAATATTCATGAAGAAGGCCGAGGTAATCAGGTGGTCATGTGTTGTCAAAGTTCAAAATTTGCATATCTCGTTTGGATCTCGTGAACTCAAACGTCCTTGACATTGATTTCGCGATCTACTTATGAACACATCCTGAAGCTTTGGTGAGTCTGAACATTTCATTATTTTATATCAACTTGTACCCGCCTTATACAAATATTTTTGCTTCTAGTTTAAGATGAACATCTCTTCAACATATTCACCAATTTTCAAGGTGAACATTCTTATAATAAACGAGAAATTAATGTGCAAAAAATATCACCGCGATTTCCACAGGAAATATATCAATCATAACAGACCGAATATTATATTCGGTCTGTTGGATACATACTAGTATTTACTGTGCGTGTGACACAATGATTTACAATATTTACAATACCAAGGCAGCTCAATCTTCCTACTCAAAGCCGGAATATAGAGAAGGCTTTGGACCGAAGTAACTACAAACGTTTGGAATTGAAACTATGAACGTATTTTTCCATATTACATTGCACTGTGGTGCTTTGATTGTTTGTTTTCAAACTATCTGAGCCGTTTCCATTTTTCTCTCTTGCAATACCATGGTGCAACCGTACAAGCTAACTTCAACGAAAGTGAAACTGAATTTAACATTTCTAGCCTGAGTGAAGTTCAAGGTCAAATTACGAAATTAATTTTACCTTGTTTTTTACTCTCCAAGCCACCATTTCCCTTGGGCGGGACTGACCCGGGTCGGCTTGAAGGTTTCTTTTCCATTACTGTCTCCTCTAACATACACTCCCACGAAGGACTTCGAAGTCGCTCCTTGAAAAGGCTCGACTGATTTTCCGTTTGGCTTCATTTTTACAACTCCATGTTTGCAAAAGACCCCGAAGAAAATGGTAATTTTCTTGTGAAATTACCCAATAATTATATTTATTTAAGGTGTAGAATAAAAATGAAGTTTATGAACTCTTATTCTTTGGGGTTGATGTTCCCCAAAGCTGATCGCAAGAGAGCGTAAATCGCCCGTAAACGCAGAGAAAATCCAAAGAAACTCGCAAAATGGCGACAGGCGCCTAGATCCCGGATGTCTCGTCTTCGAGAAGTAAACGAGATGTTAACGAGATTTGCCAAATTTGAAAATATTTTTTTGTTTCTCAAAATAGTTTCTCACAGTTACTGGTTGAACTGTGTTCTATTCTAAGACTTGGCATCCACAAAAAGTAAGTGTATCTATTGTTTTTGTTGTTGTTTCTGTATTTTTATATTCCCTATCTCCCAACGACTTCAGAATTCAGATTGAGGTTAGGACTGTCTATTTTTTGAAAATTGCACTTCTTCTTTCATTGAATCAGCCTATATCAGGTGACACAGAAAATTGTATCAAGTCCTTTACCGAGGTTTTGCCCCTCCTCACTCTCAGGACATTGAAACAGAAAAGATTTAGGGGGAAGCACCTGTGGTCCAACTGTCCCGCAATTTGCGTATTTGTCACGCATTTGCTTAGTTCAACAAGTTAAACCCAATACCACGGCTTTCATTTTTTAATCTGAATGTTCGTGTTGCCGTGGTTGGGTTTAACTTCCGTGCTATGCTTTCGTTTGTTGCAAATTCCCACCATCAGTTATTAATTAAACGCGCATCGAATTTCATGCGGAACCATAGGTCACCATTAAATTTTTTTGCATCAAGGGCTGAATAGGCACGGAAGTTAAACCTAGGGCGGGCCACAAGATATGTCAGATAATAAATAAGGCCCAGACTAGGTTTAACTTGTTGAACTAGCATTTGCTGTAAAATTTGAAGTCATGCTAGACTAGTTATTTTTGCGTGACATGCAAAGCTGATTATAGTCAAGCAAAAGTATTTTTGTAGGAAAACTTCGAAGAAGTGATTGCCGGTACAGCAAAAAAACGAACTCCGAAAAAAACGAATGGACTTTTGACGCGGATACCATATTACACATTTTCATCAAATTATTTCATACCATGAGATCGCCCATTTGTAGTGTAACAAGCCAGATACTACACCTGAAAGCGGTTGTGATTAATTCAATGCCCCGTGCGGGAATCAACTCCAGCACCCTCTGCTCTCAAGTCTAACACTCTTCTGTTTCAGGCAATGGGGGGGGGGGCTAGCTGAGTCTGCCAAACTTTATATAGTTTAAATACTCCTGAAACGAGACCCTATCTGTTGCAAGACTTATGCCTGGCACAACAGTCACCACGTTATTATTAATTGTTATTATCATGGTCATGACAGGCCTTTCAACCATTGCCAAAGGCTTTACCATAACACGGTCATGACAGACCTTGCAATATAATATAGCGTTGTCATGGTTATACCAGGCTTTTTTAATTTCTCATTTATTCTATTTATTCATTATAAATAATACAAAATACAATACAATATTATTGCCTACGTTTTTCAACATTGTTGGCAATATACAAAACATCAAACTGGAAATAATGGAAATACAATAGATTAGGTCCATAATATAGATGGTGAGAAATGTTAGAGGCTTAGGGAGGGGGGGGGGGGGGGTTGTTTAATCTAAAATATAAAGAGCTAAACAGATGTAATGGCTAACTATTTGAATAATTTGTTCATTCTCCATTACTGTAAGATTTCTGTCTCCAATTAATAAAAATTGAATTATTTCATTGGAGTTTAAGTTTTGGAAACAGTTGAGAAATCCTAAGGTTTTCATGATAACACTACCACGGTCATGGCAGGATCCTTGCGAAACTTAAAAACACTGAATAACTTGGTGACAGTTGTGCCAGGCATAAGTCTTGCAATATGTAGCATGTTCCTGAAACTGCTGTAGATTGTTATTTGATTGATAATATCAATGAATGGACCATGAGTGGCTAAATTCTTTTTGGATACATTTCTGTGAAGTTTGTTATATGACTCACTGGATTCACAGGGATCTACGGTCGTTATGTGTCTCCACATATTACATGTTACATAACCTTATACTGTACTTCTACTTAATTTGGTGATACTTATTTTGGCAGTTTGCTATTTTGAACATTTGGCAGCTTTTTAATTTGGCAGACTTGCAATATTACAATGTACAATGTACCAAAATTAGAGAAATTTTGTTGCTACTTAATTTTGCGAACTTTATAATTTGGCAGATCTGCCAAATTAGAATGGCTGCAAAATTAAGTAGGAGAAAAGTAAATCATTTTGATCAATCACAGATTCAGACTCTAAGACTGTACATTGTAATTATTTTTTAGAAATCTAGATCTCAGTGGAAGTGGAAACAATATCAGAAGGAAGTAAACAGTATGGCTCTTCAAGAAACTGAACAAAGTCCCCATATAGAAAACATGGATGAATTTGATGCTCCTACTATGATGGGATCGGCATATTGCTCACAACTTACAGAAGAGCAGTTCAACCAACAAGGAGCATCAGAGACAGAAAAGGCACTTATGGTATGCTATTTAATATTTTTAGGGCCTATGAGGATAATTTGGGGAATTTCAGACTCTAAGAGGGGCTATGTAATACTTCAAGCAGATATTTTAAGTCAGTATTTATCTGAGTTGTCATTATTAATCTGTGTTGTCCATTCCTTAAAAATGTAACGTAAGCCAATGATTAATTTTTCAATGATTTTACTCCCTCCTTCCAAATGTTAATCTGATAATCTTTTCTCTAATAATCTCATTGTTGGGTTTATTGAAAAACAACAAGCAAAGATATGCGAAAACAGTAATTGATAAGATATGCAAGTCTGTTATTTATACTCAAATATGTTTTAAAAATTATTGTTCTCAAATTAGCAATAAATGTTCTGTTCATATTTTTACAGCAACTCATGTCCCACCTTGACAAGAACCCATCTGTATACAAGAAACTTCTTGAGAAGAAGAAGCAAGAAGATATAGAAAATGCAGGTGTCATGTCATTCATCAAGGTGAGAATTATAAATCCTAAATATCATTTCAAATATGTGAGATAAATTAATAAATGATGGTGTCCAATTTTCTAAGAAAAAAGTTAATTTTATTGTGGTTTGAAGTGTTTGAACCCCCCTTCCTCCCCAATGGAAATAACTTTGTTATTTCAAAAATTGGAATCCATCTCAAAATATATAATTCAATAACATCTTTGAGCACTTTTCCAAGAGAATCCCTGCAAAATGAAATAGAAATATTCATATTCTGGTGTATTACTCCAACAGTGTACTACTTGGTAAATGTTCCAATCTTAGATCTCATTACATAGATAATAGATATACACTGTAGAGGATTACATATGTTTAAAAAGATCCATATATTGAATGTGGAGACCAGTAAAATCTGTTGATTTTTTTCAGGCAAAGTTTCTGTCAAGTGTACAAGGAGAGAGTTATGAAGGCAATAAAGTCACTGAGCAAGAAACAATAGAAAAACTGGATGATTTAAAAGAAAATATGGTGAAGGCATTCAACTATGCACAGGGTAAGTGGAAATTAAATATGCACAGGGTAAGTGGAAGTTAACTATGCACAGGGTTAGTGGAAGTCAACTATGCACTGGGCTAGTGGAGGTCAACTATGCACAGGGCAAGTGGAAGTAAAATATGCACAGGGCAAGTGGAAGTCAAATATGCACTGGGTTAGTTGAAGTCAACTATGCACTGGGTTAGTGGAGGTCAACTATGCACAGGGTAAATGGAAGTCAACTATGCACAGGGTAAGTGGAAGTCAACCATGCACTGGGTTAGTGGAATTCAACTATGCACAGGGTAAGTGGAAGTCAACTATGCACAGGGTAAGTGGAAGTCAACTATGCACAGGGTAAGTGGAATTCAACTATGCACAGGGTAAGTGGAAGTCAACTATGCACAGGGTAAGTGGAAGTCAACTATGCACAGGGTAAGTGGAATTCAACTATGCACAGGGTAAGTGGAAGTCAACTATGCACAGGGTAAGTGGAAGTCAACGATGCACTGAGGTCAATTATTGGTTTGAATAATATGATCTAAAATTTTAGTAATTTGCCAATTTGGACTGCAAGCTAAGTTTTTTTTTTATTTAATAGATTAATAAAGTCCATTTAACATATGTTCATGGTACTCATTTGAATAAAATAAATATAAAAATCAATTTTCCAGAATCTAAAGGAACCCGCTTTTCAAAACGCTTAGCAGCAAAGAGAACCACATCACAAACTTCCATTAAAAGTGTGGGCAAGTCCAGGCCAAAGAAACAGAAATCTAAAACCAGAATTCCTCCTCCACCTCCAGCCTTACCCCCAAGGGGTCTCGCGCCACCCCCTCCACCGCCCCCACCTTTGCCTGTAGCGGTGACACCTTTGAAAGATAACAAGAACATTATGGTAGGTGCAATATAATTGCCATTGTAAATATCCTGTCTTGTCATCACAAATGTTCCTTTTTTTGTATGAATTCATTTTGTTCTATATTATTGTCCTAGGAGGGGTTAATATATAATTTGGATTTTCGAAACGAGTTTGCAAAAATAATGTAAGGATCATTTTTATGTCACCTCCAGAAGTGTTGACATATTGTTATAGTCTCCAACTTTTTTGTGCCCAATGTTAAGCGGTTGGTGTTTGGCAGTCTAGATCTGTAACAAATGGCAGGTGGTAACATTTTGCATGTTAATGCCTTGTTAAACAAATTATTCAGAGTTATCTTACTGATTAATGTTTCAGACATCCACCCCAGCAGCAAAAGGCAGCAAACCTTTACAGTGAGTGCAATAGATTATAAAATTACAATAGTATCTTTAAAAACTTTAAAAGTACTAGAAAAGTATTATTTTTTCGTGAGAAGTTAGTTACAAGAATGTGTAATGTTATCACAATGCAATTAAATGTCAAATTTTAAGTGAAATGCTTCACCAAATGCTGATAGTTTGAACTACTTGAAATGTAGACTTTTTGGTGTTTGTGCCACTCTCCAAAAACTAGAGAACATAGCACCAGTAGGCTACAAGGACATAAACATATATGACTAAATATTATACATCCTTTCCAGAGTATGTAGTGGTCCAAGTACAAGAGCAAGTGTCCATTCAGAAATACTCCAATCAAATCCTTTGAAACGTCTCAAATCAACAACAGCTCTGAGGTAAGAACATGGTAAACTATAAACAGTGGAACCTTGTCAAAAGCAATTTTGGAAACATTGTCTTATTGATTGTTTGTTAGTTGTGAGAGAAGGGGTCAATTTCCATATTTCATAAGGGGGATTAATTACATTTCACAGTGACATTTTCCCTCCAATGCAAATTGCGTCTATACGAGTTCATTGATCCCTGTTTTACACTCAGCTTAAAAGTACTACAGAATGACTAAAATGATATTGGAAACATTCCTTTATTTTGAATTCATATTAATGATACGCTTGTTTCCAGGTCTCCTGGTGGTACGCCAATAAAACAAAAATCCACTCCGAGAGGAAGTCTAGATGGGTCGCTGAATATAAGTGGGTTTGATCACGAGGAACCATTGATGAGGTCATTCCTAAAGATCATGCACCAAAAGTTCAGAAATATAAGAACCCCAAGTCCAGGTCCTAGCTCTAGTAGGAATAACAGTGTTTTAAGTCCACTGGCTTACAGTCCTGGTGATTTTAGTCCATAGGGATAGGATACTTGGATTGTTGGTGTTTTATTTTATTTCAAAGTGGAAACACTAGATTTACGTACAGAATGTAATCAAATACAGTGAAACCTGTAAAATGGAACACCTCTATAAGAGGAACACCTCTGTTAGTTGAACACTTCAAAGTCTCAAGACCAATTGGCTTAATGTTAAATGAACCTCTTAAAGTGGAACACCTCCCAAGTGTAACACTTTTAGAGGTACCAAAGGTGTTCCACCGAGACAGATTTTACTGTACATGTGAAGGTAATGTTACAGGATAATGTCTCATCAGAAAAGTCAGAATACAGTGAACTGTCTATGGGGCTCTACATGTTAATTATTTGCTTATTGGATCATTGTTAAAAAGGACTACATTGCCCAGAATTTTTTTTCTTAAAGATTGCCAATATGTGCTAAAATCTAAAAATAATCCTAGATAAAAGTGAAGGACAAAAGGGATGATTAACATACATTTAACATACCTTTAATTTTATATTTAGGCATTTACTTTTTCCAAATTGTACATATTTCATTTTTACCATGTGATATGCAAACAAATTGACAAATTGATGTACATTATGATTTTGAAATATTATATTTTATATACCCTTTGCATTCGTTTGACTTCACTTCTTAAAAGAGAGCTTCGTCTTGTAGTTTAACTAGACTCTGCTCAGGGTATATTTTATAGTGATGCTTCATATAATAGTTTTGCACTATTTTTACATATGTTTTACTACAATAATTAGAGCTACGGTATTATCATGTAGCTAACCACTCACATTTAGTACATTGGATCCCAGACTATATTGTTTGGAAGAAAAACACAGTTTGTCTTCTGTTGAAAGAATTTTAGAAAAATCAGGTCTATTGTGTCCTATCATGTATCGAATATTGGGCATACAAGAATGTTTCATATTAGTGATGTCATGCAATTTCCTTTTTAAAATCAATAAGGTTTCAACACTTTAGTAATCTAATACATGTAGGCTACTGATGACAGATGTTGGATATATGAAAATGCATAAACTTATTCCACATCCAAATCTGCCAATTTAAATAGTCGACGCATAATGTAAACGTTCTGGAAATCGAACGCTGAATGGGTATAACACACTACCCTACCACGTGACCACGTTTAAAAGGGAAACAGGGTACAGCTTAGTTGCAAATGGAGGACGTGGGTTTAATTCCATATTTCTGAACGTAAAATACATTTTACATTTATTTCTAGTGTTCTACCAGACATAGAATTGATTCATCAAGGAGTGTGTAGAATATTGTTGGCAAAAAACCACTATAGGCAAAGATAGATAATAGTGGGCGCAGTGAAGCAAAACCAAATGCAATACACGATACATTTCAGTAAATCTATCAACGTACAGGGAGCATGTAAGTTTCCCTTCGAAAATGTTACATTGATATGTAACAAAAAAACAGTTAACTGTTATTTAAACTGCGTGTCATCGTGTTATAGGTGGATACGTTTTCTAGTATGTTAGTCAACTGTATTTTTGTGAATTTGAACAAAACATTTTGAATGGTCGGGTTTTTAGGACGGTAGTGAATTAGACCATTCAAGGGGTTCTATAGAAAGATTCTTCATATGTAGTTCAGGCAATTTTGATTATTCTGAGTAGCAAATAGTCATTAATACTGATAGCGGATAGTCATTTATCATTAACGTGTTGATATTTAATTTCGTTATATCAATTTGATACCCTAGTAACACGTATAATCTAGCGTTCTTGTTAATTAAATGACTAAAATGCATACGACTTGAAAGCCCGTGTCTAAATCTACAAAGCCCGTGTCTAATCTACAATCTATAATGTTTACTTTATTTGGATTAAATAACAATTGATGACACCTCAAAGCATCAACGGGCGGCCTTTTTAGCATTACTTTCACTGTTTGCAACGTAAATGTACATGAGGTCGGGACATAGTATGTCTGTATAATCAGCTTACTTTCTCGCTCCCTGTACTATTGAACAATTTACATTCCTTGTACCCTGTATTGATCAACTTTTGCAGCTGTGTACCGTGTACTATGACGTATCAAATATTTTAAAATTTAAAACGATATTATTTACATTATTTCTTCAACTATCATATAACTTGGAACATGGACTTCACTATTGCACCACTGAAGTGTAGCGAATAGCAATATTGACTCACTCCGAGCACCAAACGTATTAACCTTTTGACTAAGCAGTCGATATACTCAAAAGCGACATGTTTGAAAGCCAAAAGATTCGCGCATGCGCGATCGAGGTAGGGTAGTGTGTATAAATGAATATTAATCAAATGAACCAAAGTTACAGAGTATTCGTTAGGGTTAAAACTTTAAACTTAAAACCCTGAGCTTATTGGGGAGATCAGTATAACGACTGTTTTAGTTTGTTAATTTTATCATTCCAGTATAATAGTGGAATTTTTATTTTCTTGGTTGATTTTCGATATCTCAGGATTTTATTTTAGTATTGTTCCTGGATGAGCTAATATGCAGTTACATAAATGTATATTATAATTATATAAAATAAATAGTTTGGTATATAATTATTTGATTCTGTTGAACATGTTTATGTCTTTATGAAGGTAAAATTAGTTGCTAAATTTTCGAATAAAAAGGGCAAGAGGTCCTATCAAATTGCGGTCCTACTCTCCATTGATTTAAATTGTGAACAAAATACAACTCTTTCCTTCATTATCTTAGAAATGATGGTCCCCCCAGGGATTATGGTCCCCTTTCTCAATGGCACTTACTGGCCCTGATTGCGTATAAGATAATGAGGGAAAGAGCTGTATTTAGGTCATCATATAAATTAATGGAGAGTAGGACCATAATTTGATAGGACCTCCTTCCCTTTTACACCGGCAATGTTTGGTTGGGGCAATTTTATCACACAAATAGAGCATATTAAAACCTGTGTAAGTGGAACGCACGTGGTTCTGCCAAAAAGGTTCCAATTTCTAGATATTCCATTCCCATGTATATGCTACACCAAAAACAGGGCATGGGTTTAAAGATATTATTCAAGTTTTGGTGAAACATGGCTTTTGAGTTACCCTGTACAGTTAAAACAGGCTGTATGGCTCCAGAAATATACACTTAATTAAAAACAATTTGAAATGTCAGAATGTTATAATATATTTTTCATATTAAAATGTAATATGGATATTTGGATGAGCGCGCTTTGTAAGCTACTTTAAGTCCATTTACAGCACCGGGTTTACAATCAATCGCAATTTACATGAAAAGAACAGCACTTGGCTCAACAAGTGCATTTTGTTTGTTTTCGATCATCTTGTTGAATGCAGCACCAAAATCAGCAATCCACACAGGGTTACTTTGAGCATATTCTGCTACTATTCCCTCGGTGGATGATAGAGGGCAGTCAAAATACCCGCACGATGCGACACCCTCCGCATCGGGTTGAATGTCGAGGAACATTCCAATATCAGCATTTAACATCATAACTACAAAGAAATGAAAAATATATGTGTATAACAACAATGTAGATGATGTATGTAATTTGTATTTAGGCCGAGACAAACTATCGTAGTACAATACTTAAATTGTTTCTGGTCACTAATATTTGTCTATCTTTATTGCCTTTTATGAAAAGGAGATGTAGGATCTGTAATGATACGCTTTTTCATTGTAATTAAAGCAACATTTATATTAACAAAAAAGAAATGGCCACGTCTTTTTCCTTTCCAACCAAGTAACCAATAACATTAGATTTTCTTATTTATCTAATAGTTAAGAACAAGGTCTACTTGAACTGCAATCTTATTAAGTAGGCCATACTCCCAACAAATGCTATCAGCTTAATGGGTGGGACGCATTCTGGTTATCGGAAAGACCTAGAATATTAGTTTTATTCAATGGATAATCACCGTCATCTAGCCCAGCGTTTGCTTCCCACTGATAACGCCTAGATGTTCCTCCTGGTGTGTTGTCGACTTGGGCCTAGAATCAGTAAAGTGCATCTAGAACCTATCTAATTTGTACTCCACAGGGACCAGTAAAAACTAAAAAGTGCCAGAATGGTTTACACTTTTGGTTTTTGACCTAAAGTCTCAGAGGTAGATTAAAATGGAAGCTAAGAAGTGTTCACATCGAGAGGTATTGAGAATAGAGAGGAGTTTAGATATACAAGTTTTACTCTATTTTACATGTTTCTCGTCATACGGAAGAATAGAATAAGAAAAACGTCCTCTGTTTTTATACTCAGAATCAGTGTCGGTTGGGAAAATATGGTAGAAGTAGTAAAACGTTTTATTAGTCTCGCACATATACATAACAAGTGATATACATACAAAATGTCACCACATGCTCTTTGTTACAGACGCCGAACTCCGTCCACAAAAGGTTGGGAGACTTTGGTTTGGAACATGTCAATACTTCTAGAGGTGACATAATTGTTCACAGAAAATAAGATCTAAAAAAGTTGGTGAATGGAACAACGTTTAGGTGGTTTAATATTCAATGGTTCACTGCTTACCCACAATCTGTCACCCTCCATCATAAAACGATAGAACGTATGGTCAAGAGCATCTGGATTGGACACCCATCGGCCTATGTAGAAAACATGGACATCAACGTATAGTTGAAATTCCCCGTTGTGTCATTGCCATAAACGTTTCACTCACATTAAAATCGACGTACAAAGTGGTGGAATTGACAATTGTGTTGACAAAAGGGAGTTTTAGCTTGCATATAAAATCGAAACGCCAACCTATACGTATGACCAATCGCCCATACAAATCCATCGCTTAAATATTTTCCGTTCACGTTTAGGTTGTGAAAAACATTGTAAGCTTAAACTTCCTAATATGTAATAGTGACTGACTGTATTTATTTAGCCTCCGATACTGAAGAATACAGTAGTTTGATTTGCAATTTAAAGAGTTGGGTAAAAGGGTGTGTAGGCTAGGCATAACGTGGGTTTGGTATCATTTCCCTCACACAAACTCCAACGTAAATTATAAGTAAATAAGTATTTTAACAAACATACCGTCAAATCCAGAAGCGCCAGTATGTGCTCGACCAAGGGTGTGGGCACCTACTATAGCAATCGTCTCTCGTTCCGTGAATTCGAACTCTCGACTAAAGAACGACACTTGATCTCCAACACCCCGATGTGCATCCGGAAATGCTTGGACGATGTTTGTGTTCGGAGACGTCGGGCAATCAACGCGCCCGTACCTGAACGTAATTTGTGGAGAACACTGGCGTTCACCTGGAGGGCATCCTGCTAACTAGAGAAATATGAGTTAAAACGCCATTGAATCTAGTAGCCATACTGATTAAGCTAAGTTCACACCAACGGAGCTTTGATGGCGCTTTAATGCGACGTGCAAAGCGGCTTTGCAAGCCGCATTAAAGCGCCATCAAAGCGCCGTAGGTGTGAACTTAGCTTAAAGCTACGTTCACACCAACGACGCTTTGATGGCGCTTTAAAGCGGCTTGTAAAGCGGCACCAAAGCGTAACAAAGTTTGATTAAAGCGTCGGGGTCGTAATAGGTCGTAGAAAAGCTCGGAGTAAAGCGGGATATTCGGCAAGAGCGCCAAACATTTTTAAAGCTACATACGTTCACACCAACGGCGAATGCCACGCTTTAAATCGGCGAGCAAAGCGCCGTCATTTTTGTTTACTTTTCCAAAAATATCACGATCTCCAAAGTAATGTTACGCTCTGATAAGCTCTGATACGCTCTGATTTCCCGACTTGTTACGGTTCCTCATGCTATGATTAAGGAATAAATAATGATAGGCCATTCAATATGGTGAAATTCAGCACGAGTTGGACAGAATGTTGTACAAGGCACGAACCGAAGGTGAGTGCATTTGTACTAACATTCTGTCCAACGAGTGCTGAATTTCACCATATTGAATGGCCTATCATTATTTATTCCGATTCAAACATAAAAATTAGTAAAAGCCGTGTCTGTGGAACGGGCATGAAGGAAGAATACGCATGCTGTCAAGATTCTGAAGTCGGCCGGAAAAATTTTAGAATTTGTTTGGGCTGTTCTATTTTACTCCCCGTTTTAGATTTTATACGGTGTATGCAAACTTGAAGTCAGCCATAGTTAAAAAGTTACAGTAGTTACGTACGGATGGAGTAAAAAAGAACAGCTATCCCCGGACAGAGCCCCAGATGTGCAGCTGAGATGTGACGTCACTCAAAACAATGCAAATTGCAGATTGAATAGAGCATGGTCGTGCATCTATGGAGAATTAGAGAACGTTCTATATTGGCTATGCTGCATTCTGATTGGTTGAGAAATTCGAATAGAGCACGGTCATGTTTGAATCCCGCTTCGACCAGGCTTTGTTACGCTTAAAATCATGCTTTGATAAGCTTTGGTAAGCATTATTACGCTTTGATGCGATTATGACGCTTTAATCAGGCTCTGAAACGATTGCCAAGCTCTGTTGCGCATTTTCGAGATCGCCTTTATCATGACGCTTTTGATCAAATGGCTGTTTAAAGATGCAGTAGATCCATAAAACCGTTGCATCTTTGACTCGAGAAGACAATGGCAGAACAACAAGATCCAGAAATTCCAGATGGACCAGATCATGACCTATCTGAAGAAGACATGATGTTTGTCGCACGGCGAGAAAAAGCGTGAGAGAGCGTGAGGAAGCTTGTCAAGCGTAACAAAGCTCAACAAAGCGTTTCAATCCTTGATTAAAGCGTCTCAATTCGTTAAAAAGCTTGAGAGTCCTTCATGAAAGCGTAACAAAGAGTGTCAGATATTGATGAAAGCGTCTGCCCTCGTGTCAGATCTCCATGCCAGATCGTAGCAAAGCTTGAGACATCTAAACGAAGCGTGCCAAGTGGTAACAGATCGTGGAGAGACTGGGATCCCCGCTTTGAACCAAGCTCTGTTAAGCTTTCCTACGCTTTGGATCAAGCTTTGCTGAGCTTTGTTTCGGTTTGTTAAGCTTTGATACACTCTCGGCGCTTTAATCAATTCGTAATGGAGCGCTCTTGCCGAACATCCCGCTTTACTCCGAGCTTTTCTACGACATATTACGACCCCGACGCTTTATATCAAGATTTGTAACGCTTTGGTGCCGCTTTGCTCGCCGATTTAAAGCGTGGCATTCGCCGTTGGTGTGAACGTTGCTTAACGGGACATTCAAGTAATCTAGGCATTCGAGAATGTGAAACGAAAAGGAAAAGGCATATCAATAGTACATGTTTGATGGCATACATCAGAGGCGTAGCCAGAATTCTAACACAAGTAACATGAGTAACAGTAGTATATTTAAATATTTTACCTATACGAATATTGGACATGGATATTCAACTAGAGATGAATGCCCATGAAATAACCAATGAGCTGCCGTTTTGAATATCAAATTTCAAAATGGACCGCATAACAGCCCTATTGATTGCCAGTATATGTGAAAAGAAATAAAATCGATTATAACTTAGTCAATCTTTGAGAAAGCTCTTGAAATATCATAAGGTATATAAGGCATCACCATGGTTCAATGCCCATGGCATCACTAACATTTTTATTACATTCTCTCTGTAAATGCGTATGTTTTCCTAAGTTTGATATCTGGCATTTTTCGTTCTGTACGGCGAATGCAGATTTTTACAGGCCGCAGGGAAGGCGTAGAAATTATAACTCGGAGTTATAATATTTGCTCATTTCTGAGGTCCCCGTAGAAATCAACTGGCTCAACAAGATTGAATCATTGTTTGTCAATGTTTCACGATCACTTTTCATTTGATATTACATCCTAGCACTATGAATAACATTTATAAATTGTCCCGATGTAAATAAAATGAAAAAAGTATTATTTATCAACAGAAATTTAAAATTCACCGTGCGACTGCCGTGGGAAATGTGACTGCAAAAGTATGAGAGTGCAGAAATTCCACGGCGAGCGTTGAAATGTTACTGGCCGCAGCGCAAGGTCGCCGTAGGAAATGTGACTGGGGTGTAATACTGAGGCAAGTTGTTTGAAAGATCATTCTGAATAAAACATAGGTCAATGTTACAATTTTCATTTCTACCATCACAGACTCTTTCATTTTTTCAGTTCCAGATTAAGAATTGTATTTTGTCTCGCCGCGCCTGCCCCACGCTCTTGCCACGGTTATTTACAAATACACGCCTGAGGCACAGTAGCCTCTTGAATTAGTTCCAAAGGCTCTTTCACGTACCTCTGCACCACGTTCCACAGCTGTAATACCAGCCAGTGCGTAAAAGTCAGCCCTTGATAATTTGTTTGAATAGTTTGTGTAGATCGCATCCAGCTGATCACTGTAGACTTTCAACCCTAGACAGAGCATCCCACATTTCTTTAGTCGGAATAAATGGTATTTTATCAACATACTTTCAGGTCTAATTAGAAAACATAATTCTTTGACTAGTCCAACAAATTTTAATCCTTGAAACATTGAAGTAAAAGTACCTCATTTAAATGGCTTATATATCATCTAACCGCAATGGGAAGTATACTTTATTTTGAAAAACAATAAAGGTCTACACGAGACGTCTTACCTGCATTATCGGCATTGTTGTGATTGATACAGCCGTCGCACCCACCGACGCAGTCGTGGAACGCTAACCTAGGATACGCAAGGTTGCATTACTTTTTTGTTCTAGGCCACCCTTTTATCCGACAATATTGTGTTTAATAAAGGGAAAAAGTGTCGCATTGAGAGGGAGGATTTCGTGAACGAGATAGTCTCATGTAGTTGCATAGAGAAGTAGAGAAGGGCCGCCGCATGGAAAGGGACTATCTCATCAAGAAATGGTTCCGCAAGAGAGGGAAATGCATATAGTGATAGCCGCACAGTAAAAGCTAACTGGCAAAAGAGAGTGACTTCGTGGATGAAAACGAATATCAGAAACTATAGCGGCAGCAACTTTTTTTAACAATCGGAAAATTGTCAATGATCATAATTAAATGCGGAAGATAAAATGCAAACAGTGCAATCAAGATTGAAATTATCGCTATCCATACTCTTTAAAACAATATTCAAATAATATTTATAAAAGTAAATGTTTTTACCTTACGGCTCCTGCTAGAAGTGGACGAAATCCGTCAGGAGCACGCGCGTCAATGGCCTGTCTAATTGCGCCCTTGATTACGTTGACATCCGTTATCGTCAACTGGCAATATGAAGTATGGAATACTAACCCGAGAAAGAACAAACCCGCTAGCATGATTTCTATAAATAAGCATCAATGATGTTTAATAATCGTGCGTATCCTTCCTCCGCACCAGTTTCTCTTCATGTTTTCAAAAAGTACAACATGACTAATCCAATAGAAATGATTTGTGTGTTAGTACTCATGTAAAGAGAACAGAAATTTAACAAACACGCATTTTCAGAGGCCCTATTTCCAAAAGTTTGTTTCATCGTAGTCAACACTCCCGTACATATTTTCTCCCGACATGTTTGTTAATGGCACTCGTGTTTGGATTTGTTTTATTCAAAACCTTTGAAGTGGAGTGTATTATCGTAAAATCTGCGACAAATGTGACAAATTAATAAGAATGTTCATTAATTCCGAAAATATATGCGCCATTCGATTCTTAGCCTTCTTAGCTTACCTGTTGAAATAAAAAAATGTTATAACTTGCCTGTTATTTACATTTTATATCGTGTCCTTCACTGACATTAGGTTTGGCACATATTAATGAAAACAGCTGTTTATTCACACAGAATTCATGCAGCACATACAGTACTCAACGACGAGAGCCACACACCTGTGTCAAAATGGACGAATACGATTTGGTTTAAAGGGTTCCGATTAGCATCCCGTATAAAAACAATATGGCGGCTCCAGGCGAATCAACTGGATCAGTCCATTTTTAGGAAATAAGGGGAGTTCTGTTAAATCCAGTTTATTGAAATTGACTTTGAGATAAAGTAATCCGTTTATAATGATTTTGAAAACGTTATCCAAAGAGTGATTGCGTTCAAAGAATACATGTACAACAGCCAATATAAATCCTTGTATTAGAAACCGGTTTGTCTTGCTTTGTTTCATTTGTAGGATATTTCATATGCCAAGCTGTGTGCTATTACGTTATGGGGAAATTTAGATGCCAATTTTTCCTTATTATACACAAATAGAAGATCCTGAAACTTCACCCATAAATGTGGAATTGATTTGTCAAAATAAAAATCAACCTTTTATAAATATGTGACTATCTATAATAAACTTATGCTATATAACAGTTAGAGGTGTTGACACAACGACCTCGATCCTGTGAACCCTTGAGTATTATTCCGGGATCGGGCCTTTTATACTAAACGGTGAGCAACACCAGAAACGAGCGTTCGATTTGCTAAACGATATGCGTCACCCTTTAAGCAAACGTTTTTGAACCGGCGTTTGGGTCTGGTGTTGGCGTTCAAACATGCATTATTTCATCAAAATGTCAGCTTTTATAACACACTTATTATACTACGCCAGGATCAATGGTTTGAGACTTTAAGCAATGCAGATAAAATCGAAACGTAAACCTATACGCAAAAGTTTCCCTATACAAATGCATGTAGTTTTCTCACATGAATAATCGTTCAGTTACAGTGTTTACTTATTCCGTTGCCTAGCAAGGAGGATTGGAAGCCAGGGTTCCAACTCGATATTCTTTAATCTCCACGCATGCGTCATTTGCTATTTGTGTCTGTATAATTTGTACGACTGCATGGAGAATGACCTGATACTCTCCAACAAAGCTATCGCTAGGTGATTGTTTTGCAGAATATCGGTGTTGCATTCTGGGAGCCAATCCTCCTTGGTTGCCTAGACTACATATCATCGTGTAATATGTCATTGATAGCTATGTAGCTAGTTTTCTATAATACATATTTTAAACAAGCCCGTATAGTAAGATATTTGGAGCTAAAACATGTATTACACACATCATTTTCTTCAGAAAGCATTATAGTGTGCATCGAAATATGCAAATCTCCCGTTCTAAACACAGCTCTGAAGCTGATCGGGTATTTGAAGTAGACTATGTAGCGCTTGTTTTGAATGCGCGCTTTATACATTACTGTATTGATTCATTGGCTTTGTGTTGAAATGTCCGTTTTATTCTAGTATCAGAAACGATTTATTTTCCAATGTTTAGAATAAAATTACAAACTTTCAAAGACTTACTGACGATGAGGAATTCTAAACGTTGATGTCGAGTCATGAGATTGCTGTTGATGTGGCAAAGGCCTGTGGCCAAATGTTTAAAAAAGAGAACACAAACTGTACAGTTAATTTTGATGAATATCGTTTTATACATAGTATCTTATAGGCCGAGCACGGCCTGGGGTAAAAATATTGAATGCTTTTACTACGTTTGAATTTTATTACCATTTGTATTTTAGCTACATGTTGTATTGATATATGCCCAGGACACTTTAACAAAATTTAAAAATACAAAAGTTAACGATTACGTTATTGAAAAACCCTCAACGGATTTCCATCCATTTTATTACGAGAGGGGCTCGTTCCGTCACAGAATACGTGCACAGTGGTGATAAAAGTTAATACAATCACGTTTCTTACTGCGGTCACGTTAAATGGGTGGTTTTGGAATTAGTCTTTCTACATTGCCCAAAAAGCCAAGGTTAAGATAACATATCTGCCAAGCCATCGCCGATAAAACATATAGGTAAGATTATTGGGTCATGTTTGATAACTATATGCCGAACTCGACCTATATATATTCTATTTCATTTACCAATTGAAAATATTGAGAAGTATTAGTATGTGGTAATTTTGCCTAATCATTTAATTTACCTATTGCCTAATTTTTGCCATGACCGTAAAAAATAAAATTGAAAAAATGAAAAAATTGATAATTCGGCAAATTAACCACTCGGATTAAATACCACATAGGCTATGCAGTATATTATCTGAAATCTTTAAATTAGATAACAGACAAAAAGTTCTGATTTTTAATATTTAATGACATGGATCGTATTCATAGATATTGCACTATATGGACTATATATGCGTACTGAATGACATATGTTGTATGGTAGATAATAGCTATATTGTGTTGAAATTGTCTCAAAATAGTACATGCTGTTCATTCGATATCTCTAACACATGAAAAAGGGTAAAGCAGAAATCATCATCAATGTTATATACCAGTGGCGTAGCCAGCAAATGGTGACCAGGGGTTCGATTTTCTATGTATCCACAAATCTTCCCCTTCTTCGGTGTACCTCACAAAAAAGCATTTTTTGTATTTGTCATACATACAATGTACACCGTACCCCTCCAAAAGTTTGGCAACAATTTGATTTTCTATGTTGAAATAGTTTTTGGTGAATCTTTTACTGAAAAGATATTGAAATCTGGTAGCAAAATCATACATTTAAATTTTACTGCACTTGTTTAATTGTTCAATGGAATCCAAATCAAGGGTTAGCATACATTGAGCCAACTTTTGTTAAGGGAAAATTATAACATATCTCGAAGGAACATGTTTTTGACGAGCTACCATAGATAAATTGTCATTCCCAATTCATGCTTTAGAGTTCATTCAAAGATATTCAGACACATGCTATTTTCCCACACTTTTAAATGATTTTTGAAAAGAATCCAAATCAAAAGGATTTTATTTTATTTTATATTTCATTTTGTAAGACCTCATGAACTTACAGTTATTTACTGAAAACTAGTATATTCATAGCAAATATTTTTAAGAATGTAGCACAATAAAAGTCGTAATGGCTGCACGAATACTCTCAATTGGTACTGACGATAAAAGTCACAGATGACAAATATTATTGTATTACATATGAAATGAAACATTCTATCACCGTCCCGCTGTTTTTATCATTAATGACGAGAATCATGAATGTTTTGAGAAATGAAAACATTTTAGATGAACTTGTGAATCATTATAGACTTTGATTTGTTTTTGAGAAATTAACGTTTTATTATTTTATTCAAGAATGCTGCCAAATCTTTTTAGACACACGATTTGAAACTTGTGGTAGGCCAATCCTCTGTCTTTCTGGCAAGTACACTCCCCTCCAAAAGCTTGGCAACCTAAGCTCCCTGCCTCCTCTTTATATTTGAATTTTTATTTACATAACCTGCGGGGAAAATACTTATAATATTGATTAAAATGTAATTTGATTTCACTTCCAATGCCTCCAAATTTTCCCATTTTTTTACCTCTTTTGATGAATTTTTTAATCCGCTGATTATCAGTGGATCAGTTTTTTAGAAAATAAAAAGTGATTATCAGGAAGCAATGCATATTGGTACACCATGTGATTTTTTAATATTTTTTATTATGAACTTTTTCCCTTAACTGTGAGAATGTAATACTCATTTGAAATAATAAATCTAGACTTATTTGATATAATCCTCCTTACGCCTTTGCTTTCCTCAGCAAAAGATGACTGCATCTGGCCTTTTTATTGGACAGAACTTTCCACTGCACGTAATGTGTGTACCTTTTACACTTGTATCTAGTAACACAGACATACTCACCTAATTGCCTCCCCTAATCCATTTATTTGCTAAACATATTATAATTAATGTCATAAACGCGATCCACTAAAGTTTGATATTCTTGAAAATAGAGTAAATACTTAATACACTGAAACAGCAACATTTTAATCTTAAAATGATCACCGAGATGAACGTGCATCTGAAAAAGCAAAACTGATTTTTTCGCAATCGATTTATTTTTCCTAAAAAGTGATGGATAATAAATACCCATTCGATCAAATACTTGTGTTTATAAATGATACATATGATTTTAATAATAACTCATTTCAAAATGTTTCTATTATTTAATATTTGCTTTTGAGGACTTGTCAGACCCGGGGACTTAGCAAGATTTTTTTTGTTTGAAATAAAACAAAACGGAGGGGCACAGATTTGAAAGAACATGTGTTTTCATCAGTTTTAAGACAATTTGTTTATTTCACTGTAGATGGAGCAGCTTTTTATGTCATAATGTCATAATGCTCCGGGGTCTTCCCAAAATTAAACAATCCCACCCCGTGCCTGAGGTTGCCAATCTTTTGGAGAGAAGTGTAAATTTACTATTTTTATCTACTAGTCATATAAATTGAATATATGTTATTGGTTATTGCAATGAATTTTCCACAAATATTTTTGAGGGGGAATCCCGACCGGGGGTTCGTCCGAACCCATCGAACCCCCGGTCCCTACGGCTATGCATACTCCATACTTGGTTCAATTCGAGATTGCACACTTCAGTAAACTTACTCAATTGATGTATGTTGGCTCTTATAAACACAAGCACGTTTTGATATATCTAACGATGATGTACAATCTCGCATCAATTTCTAGGTCACAATATTTGTTTCTTGAGACGTTCGAGAATTTGTCTTGAATCATTCCGAGGACAATCACACTAAACGAAATTAAATTCCATAAACTCGATGTCATATCAAAATATAAAATTAAAATGTATACCCGACAGTGTGCAATTTACATCCTTAAATAACAATAGGAGGGGTCGTTTTGCCAATAGCCAGGCATGGGCGTTAGACAAGCCAGCTACGGGCATGTAGTAGAAGGAAGAAATTCATTGTATTTTTTGGTTGTAAGTCAAACCAGATGTTTTATATGTCTCTGGTCAAACCTACTAAATACGTATATATTAGGTCGCCTATTCTGGGATATTGTTCCGGTGTGAAATAAATAATGGTTCCCCAGGGATTATGGTCCCCTTTCTTAACGGCCCTTACTGGCCCTGATTGCGTATAAGATAATGAGGGAAAAGAGTTGTATTCATCATATAAATCAATGGAGAGTAGGACCATAATTTGATAGGACCTCTTACCCTTTTACACTCGAAACGCAATATTATGAGGATAATGCAGATATAAATTTGTAAGTACAACTACACCCGGCCTTCACTCATTACACTGTACCTCTGGACGTGTAAGACAAGTGCCTCTTTTGAACTCACCTTTTATAAATAAGTTAATTGCTTTGTAATTTAAAGCAGGACAATGTAAGGAACTATTGTATGGGCCTATTGGAAATCCCCTGGTAAGGCAAAGTTCTCGTCCACAAAGATTGATTTTGAGATCATTTTACATTCTGTCGATCATTCAATTTTGACAAATAAAATCAGTCTGTGCCAATAGAATATTTAGATCCAAAACGAGGCGCTGATGGCCGATCTATGAGCACGTGTACAATTGTGTATTAATCAAGTGAGGATTGGAGGACCTATTAACAAAATTTATTCAGGGAAGTGTTATTTCAGGTTTTGGTTCTTGAATATACATTTTTACTTGCACGTTTGTCCTCGTCAATGTTTTATGAAACAAAAATGACGTTTTTCAAAGGGTAATGTGTCTAACAATTTTTAACGACAGAAAATATCTATGATTAAAATATATTTACAGGGGTTTCCAAAAATTCGTTAGGTACACGTACGACGACATGTAAAAACTGAAACCATCTCAGGTAAAAACAAGTAATTACTAAATGAATAGAACGCCAGGTAAAATAGTCTTGTTTATGGATACCAGGACGGATAACATAATCTCAAATATGAACAATAGAGAATCAATAAAATGATTTCCGGTTTCAATAATAATTGAAATTTTAGACTAAATCAATATAACTCATTTAGAACAGTCTTCATTCTTCCTCTATTTATGTCAATAAACCAATTTTATCTCAAAGTTATTTTGGGCTATTGGAGGAGGTTGATTGAGATCTTTAAGGCGCAAACACGTTATACAAGTCATTCGCATTTCATAAAAAGTTGAGATGAATTTCATATTTATTGGTATGACAATAGGGACTGTACATGTCATTGCTCTCGGTTCTAAAATTAATGGACACACATTTCAATTGTTTACAAAAACAAGATGTGACGCAGATAATTTCTTAGCGACCTTGAGCAACATTCGCTCGCAGACGATCTGTCTTGGAGAATGCGCAAGTTTTACTGAATGTACAGGAGTAAATTATGAGGAAAAGTCCTCAACTTGCGAACTCATATCCTCAAACGAGATGACGTGTTCCTTTTCGGCAAACACATATTGGAGCCATGCACATTTAAATTGTAATTATCAATATAATCGAGACTGTCAAACTTTGCACGAAAACGATTGCTGGCAAAATGGCGTTTATGAAATAGAACCAGATTCCAGTCAATCTACATTTGACGTTTATTGTGACATGCAAGATGGCGGATGGACTGTCATTCAAAGACGTTATGATGGGAGTGTTGAATTTCACAACCAAAATTGGACAGAATATAAAGATGGTTTTGGGGACGTTTCCGCTGAGCATTGGTTGGGAAATGACCTCATTCATCTTATTACAAATTCAGCAAATTATGAGATCAAATTTGATCTGATGACTCCAGACAATGTTTGGCACTATGCAACATATTCTAATTTCTCAATACAAAATGAAGCAGCCAACTACCAACTTTCAATAGGACCTTTTAAAAGTGGCACTGTTGAAGACGTCATTGTGAATAATACTAAGGCAAATAAGAGACTAAATGGAATGAAATTCTCTACACGTGACAGAGACAATGACCTTCAAGAATTAGAAAGTTGCGCCAGGACCGAAAGTCACAATGGCGGTGGATGGTGGTACAATTCCTGTACAGGAGTGTGCCCAAATTGCAAATACAGTATGGATGGCGTATACCATGGACTAGATTTAGGTATTAAATGGCAAACACTAACATCTGCAGGTGGACCATCTTTAATGGCAACGACCATGAAGCTCAAACGGTTGACATAGACAGTAGATGCGCTATAAACCACAAATTGCAAATACAGTATGGATGGCATATACCATGGACTAGATTTAGGTATTAAATGGCAAACACTAACATTTGCAGGTGGACCATCTTTAATGGCAACGACCATGAAGCTCAAACGGTTGACATAGACAGTAGATGCGCTATAAACCACAAATTGCAAATACAGTATGGATGGCATATACCATGGACTAGATTTAGGTATTAAATGGCAAACACTAACAACTGCAGGTGGGCCATCTTTAATGGCAACGACCATGAAGCTCAAACGGTTGACATAGACAGTAGATGCGCTATAAACCACAAATTGCAAATACAGTATGGATGGCATATACCATGGACTAGATTTAGGTATTAAATGGCAAACACTAACATTTGCAGGTGGGCCATATTTAATGACAACGACCATGAAGCTGAAACGGTTGACGTAGACAGTAAATGTGCTATATACCACAAATTGCAAGATTTAAAGTCTGACTTCTTTTTGTTTTATTTCCTTTTATTGTGTCTAATGAACACATTGTGTGGAGAGCTAAAATAATTGAGTTCTATGAATATCAAAATTATCCTGACTTGCGAGTAAAGAAGCATACCTGTAGTCACACAATGGATCATAGAGAATGACAAACATAATATTCTTTATTTCACTGAAGTGCGAATAAGTTTGTATATTTTACATATTTTTGGGTGGTAGCTTTAAGAGGAAATATGAACAAACAATCAAGGTCACACATCCCATTTATATTCTTTTCACGTTGCTTAGAACACTGACCCTATCGATTAAACATTAAGATTGAAAATATAAATGATTGACAAAAATATGGATTCAAAAATTATGGTTAATTATTTTAGTATAACCCCTTGGCGATGAAAGGGTTGATTATTTAACTTTGCCACCTGTAAGGCTGCGTTTTTGAACTGCCCGCGGGTGCATTGCATAATGTATCACGGAAAAGAATTATGAGCCCATGCATTGCAAATTACATGTTCACATGTTTTCAACAAAAGCAGTTCATCCAAGCGCGCTTAAACCGCTAATTACGTGTTTCAACCGGGCCAGCTTGGTGCTAACTGCACCACAGAAGCTCGGTTGAAATAAAACATGTCTTTCAAAAGAATTGTGTGAGTTTAGTGCGCTTGAATAAGCTTTTTTTGTTGAAAACGCATGAGCATGTAATGAGCACTGCAGGGCTTATTGTTTCTATTTAAAGATACCTGTTGGGGAGAAACCTAATTAAAACATTACATAATTCACTAGCAACGCGGGCATAATAAAATACAATACCAATCTTTGCTAAGGGATTTAAGCCCTGGACTTAGTGCATTGTTTGCTGAATAATACCATGGATGTGTTGTTTCCAAACCTTTGCATGACCGCGTAGCGGGGATGCAAAGTTTAGGAAACAACGCCTGAGGGGAATGAAGCAGCTACAATACAGGGCAGCTGCAGCCAGGGCTTAAATTCTTTTCACACATTGCAATGTTTTCCACAAAATCATCCAAAAGAACGAAATTACTAAAAGAACACATTTTCAATGACTTTTGCAATGGTCAAGTTGGCAAGTCATCAAATCTAATGTGAAAAGTACTAGTCCATTCATCACCATGACAACTGTTTAACTAGTGACCTTGCATGTGTTATTGATATTTCACACACTGTTGATTATGTGAATACTCTGAACTGATTGGCTGGAATCGGACACACCTTGCCTATTTATGTGTGAATGTGTATTCAATGTGCATGGCCTGTGCAGTGTTATTCTTTAAAGGGATCCAACACCTTACAAAACTTCTTAACGGAGGGGAATAAGGGAAAATGCTTGCCGGATTCTGAATCTGTGTATTTTTTAATGATTTTTCACCGTCTTAGAATTTCAATTTTTTTCTTTTGAAAAAATGAGATTTGCATTGTTTTCCAATTAGACAAATGAGTAAACATGAATAGCTCGAAATCTAACGGTGAGATTTTGTTTTAAAAAATCATGGATATCAAGGCTAAATATAGCTATACAATAAACATAAAAAAGCAATGCTTGGACTCTTCATATTCACACAAAAAATTAATTAGTAAATGAGGTTTGATATTTGTGAGAATAAGTTGTACGAGTCGCAATGCTCTACAAACACCAGACTACAGGGTGGATTAGGATCAATGACACACATAAAAATTAATTTAAAAATATTTCATGATAATTATCTCAAACAAAAGCAGTTAGCGAAGGATACATTTCATTACACTCAATAAATAGTTATCACTTTTGACAATATATACATATCTCATGGGAATGTATTTCCATCTGCTCAAGATATCATATTTTAGCTTCGAAAATCACAATCGTTGGATAATACATTTGTCTCAGAATGATAGGCCACCCTGTAGCAATGTAGCTTTCACTTGAAGTGTACCCTTGAGAATAATGAACTTACTTTCAAATTGGTCTTGCTTTTGTGGTGTATGTGGCTTTTTAGCAAATCTGCCACGCTCATTTCTTTCCAGAACCATCTTGTTCACATGTAACACTAGGCTATACGCGCATGTATAGACAGATGACATAGATATACATATAAATTATATACTGCACCTGTATTTACTTACATGGGAATATTCCCTTTGGAAAAATGCAAATGCATGAACATATATTTTCATCTTATATATGACTTCAAGCTAACATATTATTTCATATTTATATTTTCATAGTTAGTCTAACATAAACAATAGATCCATGAGAACAATATTCTTTGTTTTCTTAAAAATTGATGGGTTTACTGTGAATTCAATAAATTACAATTTGCAAGGGGTAAGTATACTGTATGACCTTAGTTGCAAAGTACTGTTTATATATGCAGCTCAATAGCATAAAATATGTTGAATGAAGCATATGTTATGGATTAGTCGTGTGACACACAAACTGACCAATACATGAGGGTATTAGCTACTTTTCACAGAAACCAAAGGAGGACAGTGCTTTTATTTCAACTGGGAGCTTACCTCCACACGACTGATCATGTGACCATGGTGTTGGGTCCCTTTAAAAAGGGCTGACCGCATATCATCATTGTGTTAATTCAGTTAATGCTAAGTTTTCTTAATTTTTCTGCATCAAACTAATTATTTCTTCCCGGGTATTTCATTTCCTATACTATTTTGAACTAGGTCAACACTGACAGTTTCCGTCACCATGACATTCATTTACTCTTACGATTTGACCTGCATAAGCACCTGGCTTGTTATTCCCTATGATATAATTTATAGATTTTCACTAAACTATGAAATTGATCAGTTTCATTTGTTTCTAGAATCAGAAATTAACCAAGGTGCATTTGAGTTGTACAACATGTCAGCAAATCTTGCAGATAGATGTAAATGGTGAACTGTTGTACTTCATCATGGACCAGGGTTATGTTTGAATTGGTTAGTACATCCACCCATGCTTTTATATTTCCAATATAGAATGATACATGATTCTTTAATCCTTTATTTAATCCCAAAATAAAATTTGAATATTTCTGAAGCCATCTAAATATGCAACTAAAATTTCAAGGGAAATTCAAACAGTAGGCCTACAATGCAATAGAGAAAACCCATTGTTTGGACGTAGCAACAGTTGGCCCGTCTCGATCTGTATTTTATTTACCAAGAAAGGAAAGATTGATAAATTATAAATTATCTGAAATCTATAGACCAACTTAACTGACAAAATTGTCTCAGCTTTGATAATTAATGTTCCTAGATACTATACAATGATACATACACTCCCCTCCATAAGTTTGGCAACCTTAGCTCCCCCATTGTACGTGTTAAAGCCTCTTTAACATTGAATTTTTATTTACTTAACCTGCGATGAAAATACTTATTCTATTGGCGGAAACGTAATTTGACTTTATTTCCAATACCTCCAAATTTTCTCCATTTTTTTCCGCGATTACAATGAGTCGAAAATTGATGATAGATTTGATGAATTTTTGAAAATCGACATTCCCATGTTAACCAATGGGAAATGGTAGGTTTGCCGCAGGTCATATGACAGAATATCCATCCATCCGAGGCCTTGCAAAAATACGAGTTAGGCAGGCAATTGAATTTGCTAACTTTATTTAACAAAAAAATTATATGTTTCTTCAGGTTCAACAAAGATATAGGGCTGTAAAGTCAAAATTTGTTTTTCAAAAAACCTCTCCCATTGAAATAACACAAGAGGCGAAAAATTATTTTCAAAAATGACTTTGAAGCGCTGTAACTAAATATTCATCAAATAAACTAAACACTTAGTGTACAAAAAAGTTAGACAATTCAATGTTCTATATGAAAATATTTTTTGCTGAATCTTTTACTGAAAAGATATCCTGATTTCTGATTTGCACCGAACCCTCCATTTCCCATTGGATTACATGGGAATGACAATTTTCAAAAATTCATCAAATTTTTCATCAATTTTCGACCTATTGTAATTGAGGGGAAAAATTGAGAAAATTTGGAGGTATTGGAAATAAGGTCAAGTTACGTTTTCATCAATATTATAAGTTGTTTCATCGCCGGTTAAGTAAATAAAAATTCAAACGTAAAGAGGCTTTAACACGTAGTTCAATGGGGGAGCTAAGGTTGCCAAACTTATGGAGGGGAGTGTATAATGGTTCCGTCTATCGACTAAAAGACAGCTGGAAGACAGCTAGACACAGATACGGTGTATACATGTATAAGACAACTATATGGAGATAACAACACATGTGCCAAGCCAGCTACATGAAAAACACAGTATATTTATTTTTGTCTATTATAAGCAAGTTACCTCACTCTGTCGATCTTTCAGTTTGCTTGACTAATCAGTCAATTAAATAAGTCAATAAAACCTAACCGGTTAAAATATTTGAATTGAAAGATGGGGCTCTGCTACTCTTTCTATTGGCATGTCTATATATCAATCAAGTGAGGGTTGCTCGATCCCAACAATATTATATAGGAGTGGGTTTGACCAGTTTCTGCTTCTGGGATTGACATTCTTCTTTGCATATTCATAGAATTGCTTTCTTGGAAGACCAACAACTTTTTTAAAGAAAACATGACAAGTAGTATTGTAACAAATAAAATGCATAGAATTTGTAAGCCTTAGATGCAAAATTTCAAATCCAAATTGGTTCTCTTTACATTATTTAACATTTTCAAAACTACAAGTATGAACCAGGGGGGGGGGGGTCGGAAGTTTTTCGCAATTTTGAGAAGTCTGTGGCAAAAATTGTTAAAGAATCCCCTCCGGAATTTAAAGAAAGTACCACATCTTCCACTGGCAAAAGCTGGCTACGGTGCTAGCTGCTAGCTATACTATATTACCACCAGGTAAAATAGTATTGTTTATGGTTTCCATGCCTTCATATAGTTAACACTTTGATGTGAATTAGAATACTAAGTGGTAAAAACCAGATAAACAATACATTGTTTGAGCCCGAGGTCGTTCAATCAATTGAAACGACATATAGTATATC